CCCGACGTTGCGTGATCGACTCGAGACGATTGTCACGTTAACGATCTTGGTCATCTCTGTTCAAACAATTTCGAAATAGACTCGATAATCGAACGCGTGCAAGGTAATCCGAAGGAAGATGCCCGAATCGATACAAAACTGAAATTGTAATCCATAAAATTGGCGAGTCGACTACGTTACGTCAATTAGGGTAGAGGAGGGGTGTTTTTTTGTGGGCTGCCTGATTGCTTTGTCAAAAAGTGACGAAATTGGTCATTTTTTAATTTTGTGTACTTCTGAATACGAAAAATTTAATGTATCGTTTGATAAGTGTACAGATAATTGTGCCCGAAGACAAACCAAAGGCACAGCAATTGGTTTCCCGCACAGAAACCGACTCTATTACCCCGCTTTGCGTAAGTACAATACGGTTGATAATACTGTTCGTGTTGCTCGAAAGAAAGAAAGAGAAAGAAGTAGGACCTATTCCAACAAATCCGTCAATGTTAGCGCCCTCGCGGAAGTAGGGAAAACGCGTTTCCCTTATTCGCAGAAATGATTCCATCCTATTGGTTCCAAATTAGCAGCAACACTGAATTTCCACGAAACGAAGGACTCGAGTCTGGCCGATCAAAAACGTACAACGCATTCTGACTTCCGCCACGTCTTGTTCTCCCGTGGTCGCCATTTTGTGCTTGTGCCCTCTGTGTACGTGTGCGTGTTTATGTGTATCATTTACGTGACCACGGGCGAGCGAGATGCGCGACGAGAGTCAGGAGGCGTAGAACAATCGAAACAAAGTGAAACGCAAGACGCAACAATTGCAAGATGCAAGAGCGTTGACTTATCCCTAAAGCATTAACTTCAGATTCTTCTGATAAGCGCACGATTGTTTGTAATTACTAATTACTAATTAGCATCTTGATCAACTTTTCATTGCATTATGCAGCAAACGTGCTGTACGTTACGCATACTTTTTTATACTTGTGTTGTATCATATAATTTTTTTAAACGGTTATCCAGTATGATGCAATTACGTAATTCATTTATCATAAACGTTAGATACTACAAAGTAACTAATTGAAAGTAATCATGTTTTGCTCGTACCAGAATCTGAAGGTAACATCGGGAAACGAGAAAATGGAACGCTACGGTCGCCCGCTCCACCTGGCCTCTTCCAATTTGTTTTGATTCCAGACTTTTGCTTGTTATTAGCTAAGTTCGCGCTGAACAAGAGACGCGATTAGGTGGAACGGACAACCGATCCCCCGTGCTCCTCGCGTCGATTAGCTCGTGGCTCTTCTCGTTTACCAATAGAAGCGAGTTTCGGGAGGTCATAGAAAAGTGGGGACTATATGGGCGTACAGGTCTGGCGGAGCGAGCGTAATATCTCGCTTGCCTCTCTGCCGAACGACGGACATCTTCTTCAGCAACGCGGACGGTACTCTTTTCCTTGTCCTTACGACACGAGATAGCAAACGGCGGCGGAACTTATTTATGGACGTTACTGCACGGCCTATGCAAAAGAACTCGTAAACACGACCGTGCTAACACCCCCGCTGGATAAATTTTGAATTGCGATTTCTTTAGTGTCACGATAGTCGGAACGAAGTCGCATGAAATAAGAATTATGGTAGACAAAAGTGGACGGAGCTGAAGTTATTGTTTTCGATTAAAGCGCCGATAGTAACGAGAACATGCATACAGCCGAACATACATTACAATTAATTTACATCTCTAATCTGCCGAATACATTGTTACTCGATATCGACAATGCCGCGCATAACCGATTATTGTGAACAAGAAAATTCATGTTTCGCTGCACGCCGGATGGTTTACTTTCATTGACACTTTACCTTCATCGTCGCAAATTGCATTAACCTCTATTATTTTCTCCATTTTCTTCACTTTATGTAACTCAACGGGTTACAATACACCGTATTGCAACACAGGTTCTCGCTGCCGGGTCAAAAATACCCGAAATTCGATGTACAGTAAAATTTCTCGCACTATCGTCTGGAGCGAATTGTAAGGCGTTAGCTCTAGCATACGAAGATATGATTCGTCGAGCCACGCGGCTTCTCTTTATAGTTACCGACACCTCGTGTGAGAGCGAGAGAGAAAGAGAGAGAGAGAGAGAACGAAACTCGGGTCAAGTGAAACTGCCTGGAAACGCAGCGGCCAACATTACATTACTATGAATACATTGTAATGCTAGAATGAAAACGATGATTTAACTTTTCTATTTCTAATTTTTTATACTGAAAATTTATGCGAATCTTTATTCAACATATTGGTGGGATTCTTCCAATTAAAATGAGACCAAACACGACATGCTTTAGTCCATATTCGTTCAATTACATCGTGATTGATCTTATTTTGAGCAATCAGAAATACATGTCCAAACTATATCATGTTTGGTCTCATTTCGATCAGAAAACTACCGGAAATATGCTAATACAGATGCTTGTGTCATTGCATTATGAGTTGTCTTCCGTGAATTCGAACCTTAGTATCGATGTAGCGAGAAAATAGACAAATTACATGACCGGTAGCAATATCGCGGTGTCAGTGACGACATACCGAAGCTACGCCGGGAAGAGAGACATTACTGTATTAAAAACCATGGCTTTAGAATTTTGTACTTTAACTATATCATTTATATATCAAGGTGCAATGTTTCAAGATACAAACAAAATTGAAAATATATCTTGATATCTGTATTAAATCTCTTTAAAAAATCGAAACAGAAACTCAAACAGTCTCCTTAATATTACCTCGTTGCTTCTGTGACGAATCTTACTCAGTAGCGTCCCTAACCGAGTTAACTTTTTATTTGTATCTCCTTTTATACTTCTTTCCTTTTCGACATGCTACTCGTGCGACGTATTTGACATATTATTGTAACACATGCGCCGCGTACCCCTCCGATCAAATAAGTGTAAATAAATGAATATTATTATTGTTTAGAATTCGATCGATCGGGAATTGCGAGCCCGAATGTCACCCGCTAAGAATATCAGTGCGCAATCGCAGAAGCGGCTCGGTGTGCGTCTCTAAAAGCGAATTTCGCGTCGTAAACCGCACTCGCGATTATTCATGTGGAATGCAAAACCGTGGCCGGTGGAAAACGTGTCGATTATCGACCACGTTAACCTCGCGATAATGTTATTCCGCTGGCCTCACGGTAAAAAGCGGCTTCGTGACGCGAAAGAAAACTGGTCGTCGCGCGGCGAAAGATCGAAAGCTGTGTGCGCGCGGTCTTGTCCAAGCGAAAAGGAACGGTCCCCGCGACGTCCGACGGTGAGAAATGAACGGTTCGCGGGTGCTAAATCATCCGAATTCGGCGCGGCCAATCATGAATCACCATTGCGCGCGCCTGCCACGAAATTTATTCGATCCCGTCGTCTGGGAGGTTTCCCTCGGTGACGGGAAACTTGGCCGCGAGAAAAAGTGCCTCAAGTTGAATATCAACGCGCGAACAGCCGAGCTGGTGCGCGGCCGCCGTTCCTCGGCGCTTCGCTCCGAAGCGCGACCAATCCGGATAAAGAAATAACGCTCGCAACGCGTCATGAATTTTCATGTAAATCACGCGGCCATTAGGATTTATCAAACCCCCATTGTTGCGCCGCATTCCGCGACCCAGAATTACGGCCCAGATTAACGGCAAGATAGAGAAACAACCGTATTAACGGCAACACTGAAGGATTGTTCGGTGTGTAATTGATCCCCGTCCCTGCCCCCGCGCCGTGATAACGCGTTTTATCTTGTTTCGAATTTAGAGACCGACTTTTATTGCGATGGGGATGGCCGCGATCGCGGCGCGGTTCGGGTTCTTCGCGCGCGAAACCACCGCCTTTTTATGGCGTTATTTTTATTTTCTGTTTCGGATTCCGATTCCGCCACTGATTACGCCGCGTTGCCTCCCTTTGTTTGCCCGCAATAACGGAGCCGAATAAACACCTGATATGCTAATAAACTGCAGTTGCACGGCTGGGAATGCGGCGCAGACTATCAGATATCTTCAGTCGTTATGCCTCTCATCGTTTCTTGCCTTGGAAAGTGTATTGGCAATGCTGACTTTTTTTACTCGAAAGTGAGCGCATTGCAAAAGTGCTGTCTTGTGTTCGTTCGTTACTCAGAGGTCTGGATCTTGCGTTATCGCGCCGAGAAACGCGCGCAAGCGTTTCTGAGTATCATTCCAAAGGACGAATCGTCCTGGTGAAATATTTTGAACATCGAAATTCTTAGAACGATTAGGGAAAAACCGCTATGCAGAGCAAGGTGTTTCGCGGTAGGAAGCAGATTCGCCTACTCTCAGCGATGAATAAAATAAGATTCGTCAAAAGATGTTCCACATCTTCGAATTTGTTAAATCTAATTTACCGATATACATATAGTTGTTCTAATCCAATACTGAGACATTTAACAAAAAAAAGCGTGATTTGGAGATATTCCACTATTTTATACCAAATACTATCTGGGCAATGCAATAGTGACATATCTCTAAATGTATACCACTTCTACGTTCTTTGTAATATTCAAATATTCAAATAACTATACTTATATAGATCCTTTTTTATCATATTTATTTATATTTATTTTGCTTTATTTTTTTCAATACGCATTGGTACAAAAAATTTACTGATAATAATATTTCATCATTTTCGAAAACCAAATTACTATCGGGAAAATATAAAGCTTTAAATGCCTTTTTCTTTAAACTTCATTATTTAAAGATATCTCAGTATTGAATTAGAGCAGAGCGATATGTAATCGCGACATTCCGTGTCTCTTGTTTTGCATTTAATATGCGTATACATGAAGCGTTTCTTTTTTTTGTATTAGTCTAATGGTATACTTCGCGCGAGTCCGACGTGTTACAATATCCACAAGTTCCTTTGTATAAAAATACAGACGCACTCTGTTGAAATAATCAAGCGTCGAAGAATTCATTTACTCGAACAAGATTTCCCGCGTTTAGTTATTATCCTAGAATGAACACGCGTGAGTGAACTTACCCGTAGATCGCGTCCTTGTCGCGTTTGTGTACGTCGGGCACCGCGGACGCGGCAGCCGCTGCCGCGGCCGCGAGGACGTGTTGGGGCGGCTGCGGCGGGGGTGGTGGGTACTGCGGGTGTGCTGCTGGTCCCATACCCCCCAGGTGTGGACTGTGATGGAGGCCCGGCACCCCTCTGGCGCTCCCGTGAGGATCGTACAGCCCTGCACCGCCGCCACCACCTCCTCCCTCGAGGTAACCCCCGTGCAGCCCGCCATCGTCGTACTGCAATGAAAAACAACGAAAGTCAGTGAAAATCATCATCGACTATCTACTCTTCGAGACGAGATACCTGACGCCATAACTGGCCACCATCAAGACTTACGAACATAGCGGTGTACTGGTATCTTCTTTCGATAAGCAGATTACAATTTTTACCAAATTTTTTGTCGCACATTAGATGTCTGGTAAACTCGTTCTTCCAGCATCTCAATTTGATTCGAGTTGTTTGGTACAATTTTTAAAAAAGTTATTCCGTTTTGAAGAGTGTACACAGGCATTTTCCACTGAATGTTAATTAGTGTATAACAACATCATCGTATAGTCAACTATCATGGAAGAGTAAACGTTTGGCTCTGTTAACTGTTTGGGGCACGGTGGGATTAAAAATGTCCCATCTTTTTTTTTATGCACGGTATAATGCATGGTGGGACATTTTTAGACCCACCTCGAAATATTGCAATAGCTGCATACCCATTCATGAATTCATGTGGCACGGTGGAACTATTCGAGTCCCACCCCATAACAACAAATTGAATTGTATTATTATTTTTTTATGTTTTTATATTATGTGATTGCTTTGTTAATAAAACTATTGCGATTTTGTTTAATTTAAAACGCAATTTTCATGCAACATGGGTGTATTTTATTTTCTGAAATCGGGTGCCCCGAAGAGTTATGCTCTCATGGACACACAACATTCTGAGATTACCGAAGTTCGGTATCTCGGAATTATATTCTCCACCGATTTATCTTTTTCCAAACATAGCAGCTGCATAATAACGACTGCATTTAAAACCTCAAGTTTTATTAACAGAGCAGTAGTAAATAATTTCTACCATGTATTTGCTAGATATTTGTCCCCGTACCAGCATATCTGCGACTTNCATCATCGACTATCTACTCTTCGAGACGAGATACCTGACGCCATAACTGGCCACCATCAAGACTTACGAACATAGCGGTGTACTGGTATCTTCTTTCGATAAGCAGATTACAATTTTTACCAAATTTTTTGTCGCACATTAGATGTCTGGTAAACTCGTTCTTCCAGCATCTCAATTTGATTCGAGTTGTTTGGTACAATTTTTAAAAAAGTTATTCCGTTTTGAAGAGTGTACACAGGCATTTTCCACTGAATGTTAATTAGTGTATAACAACATCATCGTATAGTCAACTATCATGGAAGAGTAAACGTTTGGCTCTGTTAACTGTTTGGGGCACGGTGGGATTAAAAATGTCCCATCTTTTTTTTTATGCACGGTATAATGCATGGTGGGACATTTTTAGACCCACCTCGAAATATTGCAATAGCTGCATACCCATTCATGAATTCATGTGGCACGGTGGAACTATTCGAGTCCCACCCCATAACAACAAATTGAATTGTATTATTATTTTTTTATGTTTTTATATTATGTGATTGCTTTGTTAATAAAACTATTGCGATTTTGTTTAATTTAAAACGCAATTTTCATGCAACATGGGTGTATTTTATTTTCTGAAATCGGGTGCCCCGAAGAGTTATGCTCTCATGGACACACAACATTCTGAGATTACCGAAGTTCGGTATCTCGGAATTATATTCTCCACCGATTTATCTTTTTCCAAACATAGCAGCTGCATAATAACGACTGCATTTAAAACCTCAAGTTTTATTAACAGAGCAGTAGTAAATAATTTCTACCATGTATTTGCTAGATATTTGTCCCCGTACCAGCATATCTGCGACTTATATTATTATTTATACCTACTAAAAGGTGAATAGTCCCGTATATGAATAAATTCAATTCGATTCAATTCAATTTGCTTATCGAAAGAAGATATCAGATTCGTGGCAGGTGTTCAGGCCACCTCTGTGTTGCAAGGTAGGCAACTATAACTGCAGATATCTCTGAGAAAACTGGGACAAATTAGGCAAATCCTACAAAGTTATAGACTTGCTTCGAAGAAAGTGTGTGCTTCTACTCTCAAAAATCACATCTATTAGGTCGATCGCAAAGCCCCGTCGCATTCCTTATCAGTGTGCCGATGATATGATACATAGTACAAATAAATGTACCGAATCGATAGAACAATAGGATAGTATCTCGATTATCCGGTTTAAGCAAAGTGACATAAATGTTCAGATAATAGAACAGTTAGTTGAACTACCAGATGTCATCTTATTGATTTGTACAATAAGTCGTTTTGTGTACGATTTGTGCCTTTGACTGATCTGATTACAGGTAAAAATTAATTAAATTGGAGGTCCGGATAATCGAGGTTCGACTGAATCGACAGAACGCACATACAGCAAATTCTTCCCAATTAACACTCAACTTGAGAACAAGAATGGACAATTTGGGAAGCTTGCGGCTCGTTTTTATAACTACCGATTGTCAACAACTATACAAAATCGAACCGCAATTTCCAGTGTCGAAACAGAAATCGACGACTGAAATCTTGGAACGGTTCTACAAACGGGTGCGATTTTTTTTTTCTTAAACAGCGAGATGTGCGCGTCTTCGATGCAGAAAAAGAACGAGACGCAGTCTCGCGCGGTGTTCTCTCTCGTTCCTTGACGTCACTATCCCCGAGGCAAAGTGCGCCCATTGCTCATGCCTGGTTTGCGACGATATACATATATCTATATGTATGTATATACATATATATATATTTTTTTTCTCACATGGCGATCGCGCAAGTGTAGCTTTGAATTATTGTTCCAGCGAAGAGGCCACTGGCGCGCACTATAGGCTGCAGGAGCGCGATAATCGCGGCAGGTCCCCCCGTCGATTAAGACACCCACTGGACGAACAATGTCCGATACGAAAGTCCGTGCCAGCGCACACCTTTGTTCCGAGGTTCGCATTCGCTTGGGCGAGTGTCACCGGGTTTCTCAACGGTTATCCTAGCCGCCATCGATTCCGCGGTTATTTAGGTAGTAAAAATAGATATGCCACTCTGTCCTTGGTCCGAGCGGCATAAAATGGTTCGCGCGAAAATAAGCGGGGTTTGTTCCTGTCGGGGCGATTCGACGAACGGAAACCACGGAGACATCGAGGAATTTCGAGTTTTCGTTTCGCGAACGGAAAGAAGATGTTTTCCGGCGACCGTGCACGAATTCTGTCTCGGGAGATGAATTTTCATTCGAATGAAATTGATAGCTGACTGGGTAATGCTGTTACGTCTCGATGTTGACGCGAGGAGAAGGAACAATTTTGAGAAATTTGTTACTCGGAGGAATCTGAGTAGCTCGTAACACCGGCGAGACTGCAAGAAAACATTATACGTTTATACGTCAAACGTTCCATTCGTCACTGTACGGTTCGCGAAACTGCATCGATCGTATAGTCATCAATATCAACAACATTTGCGAACATATAGACTCCTTCTTGCGGAATTTGAACAATAGAATGAGACAATTTTGTTAGTTTATAGGTTCTTATAAATATATTTCTTACATTTTCGTTTCTATCTATTATTTGTGTATAAGAAGATTCGAACTCAAAAATAAATATATAAGTAAATAAAAATAAATATAAATAAATGAAGAGATAAAAACAGAGAAATATATAAATAAGTAAATAAATAAGTGAATAAATAGATCAATAAATAAATGAATAAACTTGAGGAAAAGAATTGGCAAATGATAAACTCGAGAAACTAAACGTTGACGCTAGACCTTGGATTAAACGTGATCGATAAAACGAATCAAGCGTTCATTGCGATTATTCTGCAGGTTATTACCGTTGAGAATATGTTTGCAAATGACGAAGCACATGTAATGCTAGATTTTCTCGACTTCCCGATCTAAGAAACTATTTCTGCCGATTTATCGTTCGATAAACAAACAAAATTATTGCTTCGTCAAGCTATTAAAATATTTGATAAATTTCGCTAAACGGGGAACGGCGCCCCATTCCTATCGGACACGGTGATTACAGTTTCCCATAGAAACGCATAAGAGAACTGTTTAGGTCGCCGCTGAAAGGACTGTACCGTGATTTAGCGTCCGTAAGCGGAGTATCGTGATCGATCGAGGAAATAAAATCGCACGAAACCCGCGGGATGATTGAGGTTAATTACAGCAGCACGATAGAGCGCAGTTAAACTTTGCCGGTGAAGTTAATACACAGGGGAAATGCAAATTTCGACGTAGCCGCGGAATGTGAACGGACAAATTCCGCGGCGTATCGACAGGCGAGGTTGAAGGCTCGACGGATCGAGGCGGCACACGTATCGATCCGGGAAGCCAATGATTTTCCTGACTCGTCGCATCTTGTACCATGTCACGGTGTACCACGGAAACGAAAGCACGCCGATTATTACCGCTAATTACGCCGCTCGACCGTCGAGGCCGGAGGGCCGGTAATTTTGTCATGGAAACGGCGAAAGAACCGAGGAAAAAAATATATCAAGACCGGCACAGGGACGCGAATAAGAACGACGGGAAGAGAACGAAAAACAAAAAGCGAGGCGGCAGCAACAACACAAAAACACGCGAATTCGTGGTTATCGGGGCGACACGCGTGCGGCTTTCGCGAAATAAACGGGAACACGGCGCTCGGGCTAATCGAGAATCCTTAATTACGACCGTTAACCGAGGTGACATAACGAAAACGCTCGAGACAGACTTCAATCCCACCCTGCCTCTTGCAATTTCAATCGCTGCACGTAAGTGGCCCCGTACTCGCGTAAGCATTTCCGGGCATTTCTGATTTCGTCGTAAAAAACGGCGATTATATCGTTTGCAAATGAACGGAGATCCTCCGAGTATTATCGACCAACATTCGCGGAACGAATTCGCGATATTATATCGAACGATCAATGTCGGTGGATTAACTTTTATACGTCATTCGTGGTTGGATCTTTCTCGGATGCTTTTATCGTCCTGCACTTAAAACGTGTCGCAAAAAGCAAGCGATGACGAGTATACTACCTAACCCGGATCGAAACGCAACATACAGATGTTGCATAATAATTATTTATTTCGTCTTGGTCGGCGAACATAGAAATATCTG